AGATAGAGATAGAGATAGAGATAGAGATAGAGGAGAGAGAGAGAGAGAGAAAAGGAGAGAGAGGAGAGAGGAGAAGGAGAGAGAGAGGAAAGGGGAGAGAGAAAAGAGAGAGGAGAGAGGGAGAGGAGAGAGGAGAGAGAGAGAGAGGAGGAGAGAGAAGAGAGGAGAGAGAGAGAGAGAGAGAGAGGGGGGGGAGAGGAAGAGAGGAGAGAGAGAGAGAGAGGAGAGAGAGAGAGAAAAGAAAAGGAGGAGGAAGAGAGAGAGAGGGGAGAGAAAAGAGGGGTGAGAGAGAGAGGGGAGAAAAGAGGAGGGGAGAGAGAGAGAGGGGAGAGAGGAGAGAGGGGAGAGAGAGAGGAGGGGAGAGAGAGAGAGGGGAGAGAGAGAGAGGGGGAGAGGAGAGAAGAGGGGGAGAGAGAGAGAGAGAGAGAGGGGAGAGGAGAGAAGAGAGAGAGAGAGAGAAGGGGGAAGAGAGAGTAGAGAGAGAGAGAGAGAGAGAGAGAGAGAGAGAGAGAGAGAGAGAGAGAGAGACTGACTATCTCCTGCTAATTGTTTCTCGGTGATCCACACCAACAATAACCTCTTAACATCTTTGAGTACTTGTGGTCTCATTTTTGCGAGCAGATTTACCCCCTTTGTAACAGAAGCTTCATTGATTTCCTTTTTCTTGCCCACAATGGAAGCGATGGTTGTTTGGGGTTTCTCGTACATCCTGGCCAGCTCTGCCATACATATGCCACTTTCATATTGTTCCATGATGTTTTTCTTGAATTCTATCATATTTCTCACCTTCTTTACCAAAGGCATGGCACTATGAGCTTTCTTTGGAGCCATGGTGGCTTATTCAGCAGTTGCAAGCACTAAAATGAAAGGAATATTATGAAATGTATCATGAATGCGTGAGGTGATGGTCACTCGCTGACAAACAATGGCACACTAGCTGGGAATGGAGTGTGAGGCTGCTCGGGGCTGTGCGTACGCGTCCGGGATGAACGACTATTTGCGAGTCAAACAACGATTCGTGAGTCAATGCTTTGAAGAAAAAGTTATAATTTTCGAAAATTACAACTTTCAATGCTTACGAAAAATGGGGGACCAATGTATGTGCAAAACAGTAAGAAAAACTTTAAAATGAAAAGTCTGATCTCAACTGTGGATACACAGTACATACAAAAAAAAAAATAAACAGGCCAGTGCTATGGTCATCAAAAAGTCTGGTCTGCACTGTGGGTATATATACATAATGCAGGCCAGCATTGAGGACATCAAAATATCTGGCCAAATTGTGGATTTACAAAGAGCAAGCAAGCATTTTTTTCTTTTTACCACTGGTAATCTCCCACCAAGGTAGGGTGTGAAAAAAAAAATATACACCATCATTTCTTCACTATGAAAAGTTTAAATGACCCTCTGAGCTGCAACATCCCCATCCCTTCTCCAGAGTGCAAGTACTATACTTCCCACCCATCGTACTAAAGTCCAGCTAATAAAACGGCGTTTTCTCGAATTCAGGATCAGCAAGCAACGAAAAACATAAAAATATGGCCGGCTAGCAATATAACAAACAAACATCTCGCCATGTGACAGGGGATAATCAACTGACAGTTATAGGACTGGAATATAGAAAGTCTGACCAGAGCTTTAAAATACACGAAAGTAAGGGTCAATGCTGCAGATACACAACAATCCCTGGTCAGCAATGTAGAACACAAACCTGGTTACAGCTGAAAGACAGGCAAAGTCAGTTAGTGCTTAGGGCAAAGGTACATTACAGTATACTTCTAGCTTCTCCAAATATCTTGGTATGTTAGCACACTTTCTACGTGGCTCTAAGTTCTCCCTCCCCCTCATGACTCTCCAGGTTCTTCTGACACACCATTTAATATTCCATCCCTTTCCCTTTTTTTGAAATAAACTACAGTGGTCCCTCGTTTTTTTGTACTTAATCCGTTCCTGGAGCCCGTTTACTAAAATAAAATTTACGATTTACGAATCAATTTTCCCCATAAGAAATAATGTAAACACAATTAATCCATTTCTGACACCCAGAAGTATTAAAACAAAAAATTTTTTTACATGAAATATACATGTCCTACATAAACAATACAATGGAAATGATGAATGAAACATTAACAGCATAACACTTACCTTTATTGGAGATTCTTTCTTAGTGTATGGGAGACTGGAGGAGAAGAGTGGATTGTTTATTAGTTTGGACGGGGAATCCATTCCTCAACACCTCAGGTACCATTTGCTTTCTTCTGTGGTAGCTTCTCTTCATTCTGTTTCTTATGCCACAAGACCACCTTGAGAGTCACAGGAGTCCTGTCTCGCAAAATAACTGTGGAGAGAGCTCTGTTTTCTTTGGCGTCTCTTTAACACTTTCCCTAAAATGCCCAAGAACTTTGTCACTGTACAAGTTTGCCAAATCTCTGGCTTGCAACAACCTTGTTAGGGTGATGTTTCTCCATAAAGGCTTTCCCATCTTACTCCACATAGTGAAAATCTCTTTAATTTCCGGAAGAAATCACCTTCTTCATCTCTCTTCCTCTCCTCTGCAGCAAGATTCTGAGCTGCGATGTGTTGCTCTTCTTCCTGCTGAAGCTCGCTTGCAGCTCCTCAGTGTTGAGCTTTTCATGTGGTCTTCCACCAATTCTTCCACATCTTCCAAACTCAACATCCAGCCCCATGTGAACACCCCAGTGTCACAATTGATTTTACAACAACAGACATAGGCTCATTGGGACCAGTGTCCCAAATCCTTCAAATCCCGTCTTGTCGACACAATTGGCCACAATTTTCTCCCAGCAGAGTTCAAAGTCCTGGTAGTCACTCCCCTTCCAAAGCCATACCTATAAGGGTTATGCAATGGAGGATGCTGAAGTGTTCTCTCCAAAATCCCTTAGGGACAAGTGAGTGTCCTGTGGTCACAGTCAAGCACCTGTGAAACACTGCTTTTGTTAGGAGTTTTTTTTAAAGTTTGCAATAACTGCTGTCCATGGGTTGGAGGAGATGAGTGGTATTCGGGGGCAAGAACATTACTGTGATGAACCCAAACTCCTCGAAAATTAGGTCATCCAAGTTTGAATGAGCAGTGCACTGTCCATTACTAGCAGGCACTTGGATCCAATTCTTTTCCCAGGAGTACTCCTTCCACTAGGGCCAAACCCTTCATTGAACCACTCCGACAAAATTTTCCCGTCGTGACCCATGCCCTTACTATTAGATTTCCAAAACACACACAATTTACTCTTCATAACATTGTTTTTTCCTGAACACTCTAGGATTTTCAGAAGGTACACTAGTAATGGCTTCACTTTGAATCCCCACTAAACCCACTAGCATTAGCACAGAACATTAGCACACCCTGTCTTTCATAGGCTTGTGTCCTGGCAATTGCCTTTTCCTCTGATAATGAGGGGCCTGTTTCGTCAAATTGAACATTGTTTCAGTTTCAGTCCCTTCAGCCGCTATGTACTCCTGGTAATTCATTCGCATATTTTTTCAGCCGCCTTGTGGTCCAACTGCAGCCTCACCAGCCTTACCACACTGTGTATGCCAGTACAGTTCTTAAATCTCTCAAACCAGCCCTTTGCTGGCCCTTAAATTCACCTCACATCACCACTATTTGCAGGCAATTTCTTTACCAAATCTTCATGCACAACTGCCTAGCCTTTCACAAAAATTGAAGGTCATAAGAGTATCTCCTGCTAAATTGTTTCTCATTTATCCCTACACCATAATAACTTCTCAACCTCTTCCAGACTGGTAGATCTCATTTTTTGTCAAGCATAGTTACTCTCCCTTTGCAACAACAGCATCCTTTATTTCTTTTCATGGCCACTATGGAACATAGGTTGTGTAGGGTTTTCTATACATCCTGAACAGTCGGCCACACTTGTACCATTTCATATTGTTTCAATGAGGGTTTTCTTAAATTCAATCATATTCTCACCTTCTTTACCACAGGCTTGTGGGCACTAGGAGCTTTCTTTGGAGCATGGTAGCTTATTAGGTACTTGCAAGCACTAAAATAAAATAGAAATATGAAAATATTTCGCTGGCGCACGTGAGGGGACCTCGCTCACCTGTAACAATGCCAGGACTGGCGCCAGCCCTGGCTCTCGCGCCGGGTACGCTCCCGGACGAAACTAACGACTCGCGAGTCAACCTATGAAAAGCGAGTCCATGTTTTTAATACGAAAAATACCCCTATGATTGGCGAAATTTACGATTGCCGGGAACTACGAAAAGCGGGGGACCACTGTAATTCCATTTTCACATATAATTCAGAACTTTTTTGCAGTTTATAATTGTTTACATCTGTCCTTTTTTTGTCTTAGATCGACATAATTTTTCTTTCTTCAATAAATAATCTTGTCTGCCTTTCTGCATGTGAGTGGCCGAGTATACCAGAACTTGTTTTCAAGTATAAATATAACACTAGAAATGTAAAAAGACTTTTGAGAAAGAAACTGACTTAGTGAATCATGGCTAACTAGTTTTATTATATGACCTCTAGGTTCTTAATTCTGCCAATATTAACCAAATCTGCCAAAACATCTGCTAATTAGTCTTATCTTGTGACCTGGCTTTTAATTCTGCCATTCCATAAAATATTACCACCTGCACTGTTACTTGTAAGGTAGATTAAATAGGATTATATCAAGTTCAAATAAGATTTTAAAACAGATAACCACTATTCCTTGTCTAGTTTTAAGTATACTTACTATGTACTATTATCTTATCTAGTTTTAATTAGTTACTATGTATTAGGATTAGTTTGCCCGAAATGCCTCGGCATGATGGTGGCTATCATTGTACTTAGCAAATCAAAATTGTAATTACACATTGTAACCTTTACAAAGAAACAAACTATTTATTTATTATTTATATGGTAGCTGACAATACCACACTCCTGGTTATAATAAACACAATCTGTTGAGATGCCAGTGTACATCACTGTCATAATGATTAATAATTATGAACAACTCCCTACTCACCTCCCCTTTTAAAAAGGCATCTGGAAGCTTGCATATGAGGTATTTCCTGAGGTGTGCCAACAGGTGGAACATTCAAAGCAGTGCATGTGAGAAACATACACCCCATCAATCCTTTGCTTACAGGTGCATTGTCTGAAACAAAGTAAATGAAGTCCATAAAATGCAACAATATTTGTGGTCATCCAGGATATTAATGCATGACATTTCAATTAAAATTATGCATATTCAGGTGTTTAGGCAAACAGTAATCCACAATATTATATTTTTGCTGGATTAACCCTTTGACTGTTTCAGCTGTATATACAGTAGGGCCCTGCTTTATGGCATTTCGCTTTACGGCATTCCGCTAATATGGTCATTTCAAATTATGACCAACACTCTCTATACGGCTTCCCCCACCTGACTTTCTAATACGGTAAACTCCAAAATTTCAAGTGTATTTAAAAGTTATTTCATATTTTATATATACATACTCTGATAATTATACTTATGTATACCTGTACCTAAATAAACTTACACACTGTGCTGGTGTGCAGGTACATATTAAAATCAGTAAGAGTGTTATGTCTCGAGACACCATATTAGTAATGATGGCAGAATGCAGATGACACTACATACGTCTTCTCTCACCCGAGCCCAGTCACGCTAGCCAATACTGTAAACACCGAATTACAGAAAATATCTACCTGGATGAGGACTAACAAACTTACACTAAACATAGACAAAACCTACTTCATTCAGTTTGGTAACAGAGCTACAGATGTACCTCTTAACATTGCCCTCAGACATGACATCTCCACTGCCTCCAGCCTTCTCCTCGCTGAATGTTGCAGCGAGGAGAAGGCTGGAGGCAGTGGAGATGTCATGTCTGAGGGCAATGTGTGGTGTGAATATAATGCAGAGAATTCGTAGTTTGGAAGTTAGGAGGAGGTGCGGGATTACCAAAACTGTTGTCCAGAGGGCTGAGGAAGGGTTGGTGAGGTGGTTCGGACATGTAGAGAGAATGGAGCGAAACAGAATGACTTCAAGAGTGTATCAGTCTGTAGTGGAAGGAAGGCGGGGGTAGGGGTCTGTCATAGGAAGGGTTGGAGGGAGGGTGTAAAGGAGGTTTTGTGTGCGAGGGGCTTGGACTTTCCACAGGCATGCGTGAGCGTGTTTGATAGGATGAAAGGAGACAATGGTTTTTAATACTTGACTGCTGTTGGAGTTGTGAGTCAAAGTAACATTTATGAAGTGGATTCAGGTAAACCCGGCAGCCGGACTTGAGTCCCTGAGATGGAAGTACATGTGCCCGCACTCTGAAGGAGGGGTGTTAATGTTGCAGTTTAAAAACTGTAGTGTAAAGCACCCTTCTGGCAAGACAGTGATGGAGTGGAAGATGGTGAAAGTTTTTCTTTTCGGGCCAACCCCTGCTTGGTGGGAAACGGCCAGTGTGATAATAAATAAATAAATAATAAATAAATGGATCACCTATCACAAAGCTAACAGAGGGAAAATTCCTAGGAATCCACCTCGATAATAGACTCAAATTTCATACACATATACAACAATTACTAAGAAAATTTCCAAGACTGTAGGCATACTAACGAAGATACGTACTACTATGTTCCACAGTCAGCCCTCCTGGCCCTTTATCACTCTCGTATTTACACCCTATCTCACCTATGGAATTTGTGCATGGGGCTCAACCATCTCCGACCACTAAATTACCCAACAAAAGGCTGCAGTTAAATGATAACAATTCTCACTACAGGAAACACACTCCACCAATATTCAAACAACTCACCTACTCACCATACAACAACATCCATACTTATTAATGCACTATTACATACACAGAACACTTCACTCTGATATTAACCCTCCCCTCAAACACTCCTTGCCAACTTCAACAGAAACACATGACCATAACCAAGCACAGGATCACTCTTTGATGTTCCTCTGTGTCCATCTCACGCTAATGCAAAAACTCAATGCACAAAAAAGGCCTAAAATATCTGGAATTCATTACCTGTAAATATAAACGAAACACTACCTGTTTATAATTCAAGTCTCTATCTTCAAGTCACGTTACTCACTCAAAACAAATAATACTGAATAACTGAAACCTTATAAATTGTATATCCTATATGTTACTCACAATTATATCACACAAATGTTAAACTAGGACCCAATCTAACTTTATATTTTTTTAAATACACAACCTAACAGATACTCCATTCGACTGAATTACAGCAATGCAAGCAACCATATGACCTGTCTTTGTAATACTCATTTGTGCTTTATAGTTATCTGTTTACAATAATGTTTTATCACAGATTTCATCATTGCTTAGTTAATCTTAAGTTAATTTTAAGCAGCCCGTAATGCAAATCATAAAGTGGCTTTGGCATCTGCTCTTTTTTTTACCCGTATTTTTTGTACCTCTGTATGTATGCTTAAATTACTAAATAAATAAATAAATAAAATAAATAAATGGTAATAATAATAATTTTAATAATAATTTTTATATAGCCAGACTTGAGTCCTGGAAATGGGAAGTACATTGTCTGCACTTTAACCCGTAAATGGTCCAAGCAGATCTACATTTACACATGTAGTGCTACAAAAGTAGATCTACGTTTTTTTTACATATTTTCAAATACAGTGGACCCCCGCTTTACGATCACCTCCCAATGCGACCAATTATGTAAGTGTATTTATGTAAGTGCGTTTGTACGTGTATGTTTGGGGGTCTGAAATGGACTAATCTAATTCACAATATTCCTTATGGGAACAAATTCGGTCAGTACTGGCACCTGAACATAATTCTGGAATGAAAAAATATCGTAAACCGGGGGTCCACTGCATAAAAAAAAAAGTAGATTAAAGTTTTTTTACACATTTTCAAATGTAAAAAAACAAAAAGAATATCTACTTTTTTTACATACTTTCAAATGTTGAAAAAACGTATATATACGTTTGGACCGTTTACGGGTTAACCCTTTCAGGGTCCGTCCCGTAGATCTACGGCTTTACGGTGAGTGTCCAAACCGTAGATCTACGCCATGAGCTCAGCTCACTCTGATAAACTGTGAGTGGTACATTTGGGCCTAGATATGAGAGAATACATCTATGTGGTATGTGTGCACCACATAAAACAGATCCTGCAGCACACTGTGTATAATGAGAGAGAAAAACTGAAATCATGATTTTTCGATTAAAACAGCAACTTTGCAGTGTTTTTTCGTATGTTTTTTATAGTTGTATTTGCGATTTCTTGGTCTCATTGATAGAATAGGAAGACATATTACAAAAATAGAGATGATTTTCATTGGTTTTAGCACTGGAAATGGCTTGAAACTGAGCTCAAAGTAGCGGAAATGTTAAATTTTTGCCGATATTCAAGAGTAAACAAACGACCTCACACGTCTAATACACGTCAGCTGGTGGTCTAATATACATTCACAAATATGGTGATGATATTTATACAATTATTACAGTATTGCATAACAGTAAATCTTCTATTTTTTGGTGTGAATAAAAATTCATTATGTGAAATAAAAATCAAAATGGAATTTATTTGTAAAGCCTCAAAACATAACTAATGAACAGAGGAATGTTAGTTTAGTGCCAGGAATGCCTACATTGTTTATTCTGAACCCTATTTTGAAATTGGAATATTTTGAACTTTGTGTTTAAATTGGCCAAATTAACAATTTCCGATCACTTTATTTTGTAGTTGAAACAGTTGACTTGGCGATTTCTTGTGCTCAATCGATAGAATAGAAGTAATACTAGTGAAATAACTAAGAATTTGGTTGATTGGAATAATGTAATTTGGCCTAAAATGGAGTCAAAGTCGGCAAAATCGCCGATTCGTAAACATCGCTGACACATCAAAATTCGCGAGAGCATAATTTCGTCAATTTTCCACCAAATTTCGTACTTTTTGTTTTATTACCTTCACAAAAAGATTCTCTATGATTTCATAAGAAAAAATAACAAATTTTTTTTTTTGAAAATTCTTGGACACTGGTGCGTGACTCCAGATTTGGGCCTTGGACCCTGAAAGGGTTAAAGGAGGGGTTCGGGATATTGGCAGTTTGGAGGGATATGTTGTGTGTGTATCTTTATATGCTTCTAAACTGTTGTATTCTGGGTACCTCTGCAAAAACAGTGATTATGTGTGAGTGAGGTGAAAGTGTTGAATGATGATGAAAGTATTTTCTTTTTTGGGATTTTCTTTCTTTTTGGGTCACCCTGCCTCGGTGGGAGATGGCCGACTTGTAAAATAATAATAATAATAATAATAATAATAACAATAATAATAATAATCACCGAGTCTCATTAAATGTTGTATATTACATTAATATAGTATTTTCTTTAAATCATGATTTTTTTCAAAATTATAAAAAAAACATGATACAAAAAACATATAAAATATAAAAACACTCCACAGTGAATAAATAAACAAATACAAAGGAGGCCAGACGCCTTGTACGAGTAAACCCCTATTTTTATTAACCCTTAAACTGTTCCAAGCGATACGATCCTGGTAGGCCCCAAAAAGTAGATCTACTTTTTTTTTTTCATATTTTCAAATGCGTGGCCCCCGGTTAATGATATTTTTTCATTCCGAAGTGTGTTCAGGTGCCAGTACGACCGAAAATTTTTTCCCATAAGGAATACAGTGGACCCCCCCGGTTAAGACTTTTTTCATTTTCCCGTAGTATGTTCCCGGTGCCAGTATGACCGAATTTTTTCCCAAAAGGGAAAATTGTGAAATATTAGTCCATTTCGACCCCCCAAAAAAAAAAACGTACAAACGCACTTACATAAATACATTAATATTGGTGCTTGGGAGGTGATCGTTAAGCGGGGGGGGCCACTGTATTGTGAAAGTAGATTAGTCCATTTCAGACCCCCCAAACATACCATACAAAACCCTTAAAAAATACCTTACATAAATTTGGGCCAGTGGGGGGTGATCATTAAGCGTGGGTCCCCGTATAACAAAAAAAAAAAAAAAAAAAAAGGTAGATCAAAATTTTTTTTAACATTTTCAATGTAAAAAAAAAATTAAAGATTACTTTTTTTTACATATTTCAAATGTTGAAAAAACAGATCTACGTTTGGACAGTTTAACCCTT